CAAGTAGGTGCTTTAGACCACTGAGCCATCTCTCCAGCCCCGTCCTTGATCTTTTTTATGGCTGACTCTGTGGTCAGGGGAACTTGATGATGGCATAGTGGTCAAGCTTGTTTGTCCTGGGGGTGCTCTTCTGAGGGTATTTGGGCTGCCTCCAGAGCCGCAGTGTCTTGGGACGGCAGAAGGTGGATGACGCTCATATCTTCTTCTTTTTGTGGCTGTGGATGCCTTTCAGCATGACCTTCTTGGCTTTTAAAACTTTTGCTCTGGCTTCAGCTTTGGGAGGAACAGGGGCTTCCTTCTTTGCCTTTGGCGCCATCTTGGTAAAAAAGCTTGGATGTGAGTTTTAAAGTGTGTCTTTTAGTGGAAGTGTACTTAATTTAGAGTTAAAAAAAAATTTGGAGTCAGTATCTGACTTCTTAGTCTCAGTTTCTACTTAAAGTATCAGATTCCTATTGCTGCAGTGACAAACAATAATGGACATAATATAGTGGACATTATCATTTTCTGAAACAATGCAAATGTTTCACTTTGCAGTTCTGTAGGGGTTAAGAGGTCATCAGGACTGTTCCTTCTTGGAGGATCCGCAAGGCTGCGTACTGACATGCTTGTGCCTCCTTCCTCTTCCACTTTTTTTTTTTTTTTTTGCGGAACAGGGGATTGAACTCAGGTCTTTGCGCTTGCCAGGGAAGCGCTTATTCCACTGAGCCATCTCCCCAGCCCCTCCCCTTCCACTTCTAAAAACCCTTGTGATTACAGTGGGCCCCACTACAGTCTCTTTTCAATGTTGCTGATGAGCATCCTCAATTCCTCCTGTCCTCTTGATTTGTGGTGGTAGGGATTGAACCCAGGATATCAGGCATGCTAGCAAGTGCTCTACCACTGAGCTGCACTACCAGCCCCCTTCTGCAATCTCAGCTCTCCCTTCTTGTCATATAATCTTGCACATATGTGTGTTCAGAGAGGATACACATAACTTTCTTGGGCCATTATTCTACTTATCACAATGATGTTAGGCAGATCACATCAGGGTCTTGCTATATAGCCCAGGCTAGCCTCAAACTCCTGTTGATCCTGCTGCCTCAGCCTCTCAAGTGCTGGGGTTACAGGCATGCACCACCATGTCCAGCAGGCAGATCACTCTTTACTTTGATTTTTGCCTTTGCATAAGATTGGCCTGTGGGCCAAGGAAAATAGCTCAGTAGAATAAGTGCTTGCCTGCCAAGTGCAAGAGCCTGAGTTCAATCCCTGGTTCTGCAAAAAAAAAAAAAAAAAAAAAAAAAAAAAAATTGGCCTGTGATCCCTGAGGTCTTTTTTGACTCAAACAGACAGAAATCTATGAGGATACTTAATCATTTTCTTTTTTTTTTTTTTTATTTTTTTTTATTTATTTGTGTGTGTGTGTGTGTGTGTGGCCAGCTCAGCCCACCAGGGGGCGGGGCTGGCTGGCATGTGGTGCTGGGGGATTGAACCGCGGTCCCTGTGCTTTGCTAAGCTTGTTCTAAGTAGGTGCTTTAGACCACTGAGCCATCTCACCAGCCCCTCATTTTCTAAAATAATGTAACTTGGAATTTTATGTTTAAAAGTGATTTTCAGCTGGGTGTGGTGGTGCATGCCTATAATCCCAGCACTTGGGAGGCTGAGAGAAAAAGATCACTGCAAGTTCGCGGCCAGCCTGAATTACATAGGGAAACTTTTCCTCAAAGAACAAAAACCAAACTTACTATTGCCCTGTTATCAGCCAGTGTCTTCCATAATGAAATACTTCTATTAATGTACCTTAAAATTGATATTTTCTGTAAGTCAACAAAATATATATTACTTGGATATGTAAGTATTTTTACTTCTTTAATGAAGCAAAACACAAAAGCTGGCTTGATAGACATTTACATATAACTGCTCTCACATTCGCAAGTCAACAGGTTGGAAAAGCCAGAGCATCTGTTATAACCGTATGAGGAGCACACCTGTAATGAAGAGAAAACACTCTTGTGTTAAGCTGAAGTAACATTAAAATTAGAATATTCTGAATACTCTCCTTTGGAGCATTAGGGAAAATAAGAGAAAATAAGCCCACAAAGAGTATTAATACTTCAGTGTAAGTTTTAACACAATTATCAAAGTAGAGCTAGGAGGGCCAGCGAGATAGCTTAGCGGATTAAGTGCTTGATTAGCACTTAGTCTTCATTGATTAGCTGGTTAGTCATGAAATGGACAATAATAAACTTTTTAA